CAATTACAAAATAATTCATCGGTGAGGGTTGGTTAGAATTAGCAGTGCCCTTCCAGCAAAGTTAAACCTTTTATATCATTGATTTGATGTTTTCAAGCAATATTGCATTTTACTAATACCTTTAGTTATCTATTTAATTATTTAAATAATGTATAATGTATTTATATTTAAAGTTTTTATTTTAATAGGAAAATGTGGTATTAGAGTTGGCGTTGGCGAAATATTGGTCGAGTTATTCAAATATAATACTATCGTACAAATTACAATTTCATGGCGTCGTACCTCAATCAAAAAACATAGCGATGTACCACGGAATGGGCTTACAGTCATTGATTTTGAAGCCTGGTATAAAGAATGAAGAAATCCAACCATCTGTTTCTCTGAAACATCTTATTACCGTTCTTAAGTATGCTTATCAATTTATTAATTATTCTACTCATTACTTGCATAGAATAACATTGTTCTGTATTTTTGCTTTCTGCAGTACTTTAAACTTGTGAAACGTGAGTTGTGAGTCCTACACGATAATCATTATTAGGTTTTTAACAAATTTTAATTTAAATTATTTACTGTACCTATCCAAAGCCGAGGTGGCAAAATAGTTCTTATACAGAGAACACTCATCATTTTGTAAWGTATTCATATTTTTCAAAATTTAATATTAGATATGTTACGAACTGTTCGATTTTCGAACTGGAAGTTCCAAATAATTGAACCAAATCAAATTCCTATAAAAGTTCGGTTGAGAGAAAAGAAAAATAATCATTAAATATCAATACATTTTAAATAAATAATTTAAATAACGTGGAATTTCAATTTTTTTAATATCTGCTTCGAGTTCGATAAAATATTAGAAGTTAATATTAAAAAAGGTTCGGTATTCGGCTCCACTTTAAATATTATTATGGTTCGTAACATCTCTATTTAAAATCAATATCCTGTACTCCGAATGAACGTTTTACCATTATTGTATTTACTTTTAATTTTTTGCTAAACCGTCAATTTTAATTTTCAAATGACAATCAATCTGTACTTTTAATTTTACAACYTAAAGAAGATAAATAATGTTTTTTAAATGTCAATATAATAAAATACCTTACTATATGTCAAATATTAAACAAATTTGCAAATATTTTTCTTTTAAATTAAATGCTCTAGCAAATTTATGATTTAGATTTCACTAAAAATCAAAATTTAATAATCGAACCAACATTAGGGCAGTATAAATAATACACTTAAATTTTTCAAAAAGGAAGTTTTTAATTTKTTTTTGATACATTTTTAACTTCTTCGCTGATAAAAGATTCACCACCTGTTTGGTATGTCAGTAGTTTTTAACCCAAGTGACAATATGAAAATCATTAATTTTTTGAAATAAAATTGTATATTTGCTGTTACCCCTACATTATGTACTCTGGTGATCGCCACCAACTTCAAACAACATAATTCTAATATTTTATTTTATTCTTCAATTGAAGTATAAATGTTCATTGAACCTTGCAACTCAAATAAAATGTATAACACTATAATTATTTTTCTGTGTACTGTATTTTTTTWAAATAAAACGAAAGCCGCTACTATTTTTCTTCTAAAATGTGCAGTTCAATATATTTATGTTAGGACAATAAAGTTTTGGTTACCAACTATAGTAGTTAATAGTTACATGAAATAAAAAAAAATGTTGAAAACTACTGACATACAAACCACTGTCATAAAGTAAATAACTTGAAAACTAACAATCAATCAAATTTATTTTATTAAATAATGAAACAAATATACATTTATGAACAACAATAAAATTWAAAAAAATAAACTGTAAATAGCGTTTTTCAAACCAAATTTTTCAACAACTTAGATTAGAATATTTCTTCAAGGGAGGGTGTCACCCCCTTGCATATAATCAATGTATTATACCAGTGGTCGGTGGCTCGCTTAAAAGTTTTTTAACAGTCCGACCACTGTATTATAGTATTATTTAAAAAAAAAATAAAATCATTTAGTGGAAAAATTTTACAGTTCAACTTGTTCTGCTTTATTTCTGGCTAATAACTAATCAATTGATGAACAATATTTTAGACCACTTGAAGGAAAAATAACTGTTTTAACTTATCGTGATGTCATTCCACCACAAAGACCTATATACCAATTGAGTTTATCTTATGCATTCTCTTTGCCAAAATCCACTGAAGCATATGCGACATGTGGTTTATTTGGTGAACTTTTGTATGAAAGTGAATATGAATCACAATTATGGATGTTGTTTGATTCTAATAAACAATATATAGCTGCAGGAGATGCATATTCTAGCAGAGTATGAATTTTTATTTTATATTTTTAAACAAACATAATTATTTATTTATGTACTAATTCAATATGTTATTTATACTATTTTCTGTATAGCATGTGTACAAACTCGACAAAGGCGATTATACAATTAAAATGCATGTACGGCACGAACGGCGAGAGTTATTAGATAAAATAATTGACCTACCTATACAAGTGGTTCAAAAACTTCAGAACCAAATAAACTTGGATGTGTACAATATTCATCATCAAGCTACAATTTTTGGGAAAAAATCTCCAGTTTTTATTATGACTCCAAATAGTCCTTTGTGCAACMTGAATATCGGATCACTTTCTAACGATAAGTATGTATACAATAATTATCTAACTATTGTCAACCTTACACTTTTTTTATTTTTCAGAATCATTTCATTGAAGTTATTACCTGGACATTGTTTGACTGGAAACATAGTATATGCTAAAGATGAAAATGGAAAAAAAGTTGTGAGTAATTATTTAATTGATTTGATATTAATATGTAAATAATTTTAGAGTTAAGATGTTAAAGTAACTCCTAACCAATCATTTATCTACATAATTTAATATGTTGAATAAATTGTTATAAGTTGGATAAGAAGGATATAATTATATAAATATACATATTTTATTAAACTTTCAATTTAATTACTATGAATAATGAATGGATCACATTAATAATATTATATGATAAAAATAATCAAGTAAATATGTATTTTTAAATAAATTTTGTGTTTATGTTTACTGTTTAGGATACCTACGATTTCAAATACTTCATAACGGATTCATTTAAAACAAAGAATGGACTAAAACCAGTTGATGATAATAAAACAAAGTTAGAGGAATATAATGAAACAATGTGTGAAACCAAATTAAATTGGTTAACAAAATTAGGTATATCTTGATGAATAAATATTTTTACTATAATGTTCTATACAATTTGTGTTAACAAAATATGGATAATATATAAATATGTGTTATAATCTGTTAGAGTATGGGGAAGATTCAAGAATCTTGTATAACAGTTTATGTGAAGAATTTGGAGATAAAAATGCTTCTATTCATATTTCGTGGATACAATGTATTGAACCAGAAGATAAAAAAAGATTCCCTAATTTTTCAATTCCTGACTTTGATGTAGAAAAAGTAAAACTTATAATCGCTGCTGCTGATCGTGCTCTAACCATTATTGATCAAGATGAACTTCTTGCATTTTATGGAATTAAGGCTGATCAAAGACCCGAAGCTTCTAAACTTAGATTGTAATACATTTGTTTATTTTTAAAATCAAATCTTAATTGTTTACATATTTCAGATCTAATGACCGTTTAAAAAATACTGTAATTGAAGCACTATGTCGCAAAGGTGCAGCATTATGCCAATTGTATTATTATAACAACGTGATGACAAAAAAAACAGATGAAAATGTCTTACAGGATATTGATGACATTTTGCAACAAGTTGCCTGTTTTATATCTCCAGATTCTGATTCTAAAGTTTGTTAAATTTTAAACTAATCATTTTTCAATCGAATCTAAATATTTATCTTTATTTCAGAGCTTAAATTATTTCAATATTTGGCATGGAGCTGTATATCAAAATTATGGACGTATGATGAAAATACTTTTGAGAATGTTGGAGGATAAACATATTAAAGAAGTTGAAAGTTGCTTGTTGTGGACTGTTAATGTTAAGTTTGGAGCTGATGAATCTAAAGCCAAACACCTAGTAGCAGCTATTTCAAATGCATTAATTGTTCATTATCCAAAAACTTTCCGTCCATTTTAATATAAGTTAATTTATTGTAATAGATTTCGGTTACATATTATACAGTATACCGTATGAATACACAAAAGTAATCTTAATAACATTTTTCATTTTTAATAAAATTATATTCAATCATTCTTTAATTATTGTCTATTTTTGTTATTAGTAATATTAGTAACTTTAAACAATTTAAGAATAGCAATTTGTCTAGTGGATAATATAAATTATTGAATTGTAATTCTCGAAAGTCTATGAAAGATAATGGTGGCAGATATTTTATTTTATTGCATCTGAAGGTTTAAACCATAGGCGTGTCAAGACCTTTGACGCAGAGGGTGCAACCTGGTGTGTACCCAAGRGGCTAATGGGCTATAATTTTTCTCAATAATTCATTGTGCCTCTTGAAATTGCAGAGGGTGCAGGTGCATACCCTGCACCCCCCGTGGACACGCCTATGGCTCAAACTACTTTTGAGAATATTCTTAAATTAATTTTCTTCTTAATTAAATCTAACTTTAATTTATAATTCATAGAGGTACTAAATAGGTAGTAAAACATATTTATTAATAATTGGCCATTTGTAATCATAATGATATATTATTTTAATACTTGTATAACTAGTTACTACAGACAGTTTAGGTACAGAATAGATGAAATCATCTATTCTGTGTTTTTAGGAAATAGAAATCAAAGATGAAAATTATAAATGTAGATTATTCACAAATATACTGTGATAGTCAGCAACTATGTAACTGGTGGGATGGTAGTATATTTTACACTATTACATAAAATGTTTATCAGCTGCAAAGGCAACAAATCATTTCATCATCAATAATTGTGTGATGAAAATAAGATTTTTATTATATCACTTAAACGTTGGGATTATCTATGGGTGTATTAAATTACAAACAATAATTTAACTTTGCATTTTTATTATCATTATTGTAAATTCAAAATTTAACACAAATAATAACTACCTTATAGAGTAACTTTTTCAAGTGTATCAGCATATTGAAAATCGGTACAGTTTTCATATTCACACATATCTAATGCAACTTCACAACTTTCTTTGACGACAACCTTCTGATCATTTACATATTGTTTTAATATATCATAGCAGTCATCTGTAGCAATTGCACCTAATGCTTCTGCGCACTCATGCCTGACCATATCATTTTGATTTTCATCTATTAATGATTCTTTTAGGTATGGTACACTAAGTGGTGATTGTAATTGTCCCAAAACAAATGCTATTTCATGTTTAAACAACGCACTTCCACACGATAACGCTAAATACAAATATTAAACATTAATTGTTTAGATTTAATATGCAACATTCAAAATATGTATTTATATTTTTTAAAGTGGGGTTCAAATCAAATGTGACTCGATCTCAGCGCTCAGGGCGGTGGGTTCTTTTGTCAGCATTATTCATAATAGGCGAATAAGGCGGAAGATATAAAACAATTAAATAATAGCACATGCATTTTAAGGGGACATGATACCCGAATGTGTTGTCTCTGTCTTACAAGTGCATTATATAGTAAATTTTACGTTCAGCAGAACACGTGTAACTCCGTTTGCTTAAAAATTAGAGTGAATTGACCTCTTATAAAATTTAAAGTTATGATTGTTATCTAGACAACCTCATATGCTTTTTATTATATTTAAATTTTAAAGGAAGTTATGAGTATTTTAAGATGCACAAAAAATTTACAATTTTAAAATACTCATAACTCGCTTTAAATTTAATATAAAATAAAAAGCATATGAGGTTGTCTAGATAATAATCTTACCTTTAAATTTTATAAGAGGTCAGTTCACTCTAATTTTTAAGTTAACGGAGCTACACGTGTTCTGCTGAGCGAAAAATGTAACTTGTTACGCATTTGTAAGACGCAGCAACACATGCAGATATCACATCCTCTTAATTTTCAGCCTAATTTATGAACCATAGATTTAAGTAGAAACTGTCACCCGGTGGGCTATGATTGAGTTTCATTTGATTTTAAATCCATTATAATTACCTTTAGAAAGAATAGTAATACTTTCAGGTGAAGCAATGTCTCGTAGTGAAAACATCGCTTTATACCTATTGAAGAGGTTTTCATTTTCATCAGTAAGAATTTGTTCAAGTTCTTCTATGCTTTTAATCTCTGAAGGAGGTGCTGGATCCACAGATCCATAAATATTTTCTATATTTGCTTCATTTGTAGGCAGTAAAAGTCGTCCTAAAGCCAATTGACAGGTTTCAGCTAGTTCTACCACAGGGTCATTTTTATATTCTTCCAAAATTGGTATAACATTTTCTTTACCAATTGCTCCCAGTGCTTCAGCTTAACATAAATACAAACATTTTACAAATGTACTAAATATACAGGTATTTTAAACTAATGRTATAACACAAAGTAGACTTGAGAGTTTCTACATTAGATAGTTATTAAAAAGGTAAACTACCTAATACACATTTTTAAATAAGCATGTTACAGTATGAGCACACAAGTCATAGTTTATAAAAATTAAATAAATAAGTTTATTTTTTTTATTAAATAATTTATTGTAATACCTGCTTCATGTCGAACCATAGGCTCTTGTTTGACATCTTTAAGTACTTCGATTAAATAAGGAATAGCATATTCGTCTCTCATTTGTCCTAAGCAGTATGCCAATTCATGCTTTAGCAAACACGAATCATCATTGAAACACTTTGCTATATTTTCAATGGCTATATTTCCGCCCAAGTTTTTAAGCGTAAATAGCGCTCTGAAGCGTTCTTTCATCGGTAACTTTGTGTTAGCTAATACTGTTCCTATACGATTGATGGACTCTTCTGAAGCGGCGACCATATTGACAATATTAATGAAAAAATTGACAAGTAGAGTTACGACGGTCGCGAATGTATCAATCAAAATGAACTTAATGAACGAATCTGTCGAGTGACCGAATGATGTACTAAAAAGTAAAAATATTCAGTCAAATCTAATATTRATCTTTAGGTCTTTTTGAACTATTCGATGGTTTCGATTTATTCGATAGTACCTATTCGAATTATTGGAAAAGGCACTTCGGTGTGCCGCCCGAAAGCAGACTTGGGTAGACACTATAGACAGTAGTCAGTGACACGGACTAAGATAAATCACAGAACAAGAAACGGGACTGGAAACGAGATAGTTATCTATGTGTTATAGACTATACTACCACAGATTATATAAAACTATTATATATTATTATATATAAAACTTTTATATAATCTGTGATACTACTATAGTTATCTATGAACTACAGCATAATCACGTATAATTAATGTATAATGCTTCTGGTTTAAGGTTTAAGTGAGATGTTAACGCCATCTATTATTCATTCTAAGAAATATTAATACATCAGTGTCCAGTGATAATCGTTATTCGTTAGATACTGTACTACAGCTTACTGTCTATTGCTTAAAAAGTAAATAATATATCCTTGTAACTTGTAAGTTTTTATTAATTCTTTAATAATCTTTGCTTATATATCTAACTAAAAATTAATTTTTTTTTAAAGTACTTAATAATATATTAAACTGTATTGATTCAATTTTAAAGTATTGTTGAAAATA